TTTTCTGTTACATTGCGCAGACCTCATTAGTTTTACACTCAAATCTGGTCATATTAATTTTCTGATTTGCATAATTAGTTTTCAGCTAAGTAATTTCGAATTATATTTAATGTGTCTCCAATACTCTCAGCACATGGGAGTTCTTTCTAAGCTTTCTTTGATTTACTTTGTAGGGAAGGATTGCAGCAGCCAATACTCTGAGTGACTTGTATGCATTGGGTGTTACAGACACTGATAATATGCTGATGCTGCTCGGTGTACCCCAGAAATTTACAGACAAAGAACGAGATGTTGTTATTCCTCTCATGATGCGTGGATTTAAGGTATCTTGCTATTGCATGTCATGATGTCATTAAGTCGTGTGATTTAATCAAATTGTCTCTGTGTTTGACCTAGAAACTCTGTCAATAGTAAGCAATGCCAATTTATACTAAATGTAATACTACTTTTTTACTACTGTTCTACTAAATTGGTACCAGTTACTTTTACCGGTATTTACTAATGTAGTAACAATAGATGATCAGTTAGTTGGTTCATAACTGTGTAGATTTCCATTTGTCATAGTTTCTGTTTTATTAACAGGATGTTGCTGAAGAAGCTGGAACACCCGTCACTGGCGGTCAAACAGTTTTGAGTCCATGGTGCATCATTGGTGGGGTTGCAACTACTGTTTGTCAGGCTAATGAATTTATTTCGTAAGTAGCAAGCAATTGGTGAGGTGGCAAATACTAATGTGCCAGCCTAATGATTCACTTTTGTAATTAGCAATGTGCTGCAAACCTAATATTGCCCCCATTTAGGTGTTATTGGAACCAGGGGGTTCTAGCCTGACTGCTATTCCATTGTTCTTTATTCCACAAATAGATTTTCAATTATTTATATGATTTTTGTACTGTGAACCACATTCAATCTCGCATCCTGCCTTGTTTGCAATATGGTACAGGTCAGCATTGTCATTTATTTGTTAATGTTTAATATCATTCCACATGCTTTAGAAATAGTGTTGCCAACTAATATCAGATCTGTTAAATTTGTCTGTATAAAACCATTGTAAGATAAACCACAATTAAATCTCAACCGACAAGGATTATAATGTATTCTCCATGTTCCCTTCTTCACAGCCCTGATAGTACTGTTGCTGGTGATGTTCTAGTCATGACCAAACCACTGGGCACCCAAGTGGCTGTAAATGCCCACTCATGGCTGGAAATACCGGAGAAGTGGAGTAGAATCCGATTGGTTGTTACTGCTGAAGATGTTGAACGTGCATACCAAGAAGCTATGTACAACATGGCTCGGCTAAACAGGGCAGGTGTGTTGATCATTCTGTGGGGTTCATGTGAGAGTTTCCTTGATTTCAGCAGGGTTTGGAGCAGTGAATATAGATGGTAGACACAATTTCCTCAATCATCAACAGTTTCACTGAGATAAAATGAACAATTGAAGACAGACTGCTTTATTGTGCAGCACATCCCATAGTTGTATAAATTCTTCATAGTGTTTGAAAAAAAATGTTAGAATTCGTCATTATATTCAATCTGAAATATAGAGAACCAGGGCTCTAGTGGTCTGATTCATATGGGGTTTCATTCCTCATTTCATTTCATTCATTGGGTAACATTTCCATTGGCATTGTAGTTATTTCTACTGTATTTCTTCTTTTATCATCAGCGGCCCATCTGATGCATAAATACAATGCTCATGGTGCAACTGATATAACTGGATTTGGAATTCTGGGACATGCAAAGAATCTTGCCAGTCATCAACGTAATGAAGTGTCCTTTGTCATTCACAATCTACCAATTATTGCTAAGATGTCAGCTGTTGGTAAGGCATGTGGTAATATGTTTAATCTACTGCAAGGAACCTCTGCTGAAACATCAGGTGAGAATTCACACTTAATTAATTGCTTTATTTAATATTTTGTATCCAATGTGGAATAAACTTTTCCAAATTTTTGTTTTGAGATCCATGATTTTATTTCCCATACACATTTGAACTATTTTCGTTCTGCTGACCTTTGACTGAACTGAAGCAAATTCTCCCAAAACATATGAACATGTCATAAACAGTTTCTAAAAAATGCCTGGGCTGATTTCTTTAGAACTCAGTTGTACTATTTATTTACTTTGTGGCAATATTTCTTTTATCAGTTTCTAGCAGTTGTACAATCATATTTTGATTTTACCTGTTCTAGGTGGTCTGCTTATCTGTTTACCCCGTGAACAGGCTGCTGCATTTTGCAAGGATGTTGAGAAGACAGATGGTCACACTGCTTGGATTATAGGTATTGTTGAGAAAGGAAATCGTTCGGCACGCATCATTGACAAGCCACGGATTATTGAAGTTACTACCAAGATGGTGAATGGTTAACCGTGTTTCAGCAAATGTACAGAGCTAACAAAGAAAATGACACTGTAGACCTTTCAGTCTTACTTTTAAATCAAGAAAAATACTGCCCAATTATCAAACAAATTTAAATTTAAAACCAATTTTTAATTTCGTTGTCATGGGAAATGACCCCCAAAATGTAGAGTTAGATATAAAAAAAATCTAGGTCACTGGTAGCCTTAAGACCTGGAATTTGTAACTTTGCACTTGATTTCTTAAAGAATTGAGCAGCTTTCTGTGAATCAAGTTCATTATTTGAAGTCTTCAGGTGATTAAGATACAGCATACGTCTGGTAACTCTTTTTGTGAAGCTATGTTGGAAAATCACAACTCATATGTGACCCAGCAGAGCGGATGTTTTAACCAGAGTTTTACCAGACTACATATGATTGTAATCTTAATAGGCTTCCAGTGTTCTAGTATATATGTTTATTTTTTAAAAAAAGGATGTGGTGTTGATACTAAAGATAATGCAATAGGTTCAAATTAATATTCTCTTTAGGTTGCATAGTTTTGTTCTCTATTTAGCCAGGCCAGTATATGTATATTACATACAATAAATTAGTTATGAAAATTACCCATCTTACTATATACCAAGTTTGTATATCATGTTATTTCTGAAGTACTGTATAATACTTTATTTTAGCTGGAATTAATTTTCGCTGAAAAGTGTTTTGTATGGATTTTATTTTCACTGATTTTTGAAAAGTTGAATTTAAAATCAGGAGAAAAGGTAAATTCGCTGGATTTTTTTTTCACGAAATCATTCCTTCAGCAAAAATTAATTCCAAGCGAAAATAAAGTACTTTACTTTAGGGTAAATTTGTTGAGTGCATTGTATACAAGATGTTGTCATGGTTACTGTTACATGGACAATTACATCCTTACAACAATAGTGGTGCCATTGTTTGTATATCCTTCCTAAAAAGTTTTCCTTTTCCTAAAATGTAGCTTAACCCTTATGTGGCCAAGTTTATGCAAAGATATGTGGGGCTTACAAGATTAGGATTAATACAATCCTTTAGATGAGCACAATAGTTTACTTTGATATGCAGATGAACATAAATAGGGGCTTTCTGTTATAGGGAGTACAATCCAAGATGGGACTTTGCTCCAGATGAGCCTGCATACATGGTGCTTTATTAAACTGAAATCCCAAAAGTGTTCATTAAAATGCAATCAATGACTTGTATCATAGGCACTGTGTGAATTTTAACTCGCTACACATTAACCATAGTTCTCTATTTCTAATATTGAACATTGAGTTCACAAGATCATATGACTGAGAATGGTAAAAATAAATAAAAAGGGGACAACTGGGGTAGCCTGGTTACCTTTCTGTTATTGTTCACCCACTTAATTGGAAGGTAACCAGGCCAGGTTGTAGGTCAGTCGCCTGCACATGCGTGTCATTATTTACAAACAAGTGTCTACCCATGAGCCTTTGCATGTTTTGTGTGGGTTATCGTTGCTTGGGACTGGATTCCCGCGTGTGCGCAGGTGACGACCCTCCCACTTTAACCTAACTCCATCATTTGAGAGAGGATCGTTGCTCTGGGATGGGATGGTCATTCTCTGCAGGCAGTTGAAAACTTGACTCAAATAATTGACGTTGAGGGCGCATTTTGTTATAATGGCCGATAATATTAAAGTATTTCCCGCCCTCTCAATCACCACTACATATTTGCTCTTCTGAACATGGAGGAAATTCGATTCATGGTTGAAAGATATCACGGAAATTCTCTCGAAATTTCACTGAGATTTTTGTGTGCATTATGATGCTCGGCAGTATAAACTTGCAAATTACAGGTCAATGTATCCTTTAAAAAACTCGTTTTGCAGGAATCCCAAGTCAAAATGGAACCTCCAAAATCATGTTCCGTCAGCATGGTAACATCAAGAAAAAAAATAAAATCGTAAGTGACAGTATATGCGACTCGAGCCACCCCTGATTTCCTACTTATTTTTGTTCAAAATTTTTGACTGGTCGAGGGATATGCATGTGCTTTCTGAATTTCACGAGTGGAGACAACTTGAAGCCGTGGGCGATTTCTCGCTGCACCGTTTTCTATATAACTTGCACAATCAGTGATCAGGGTTCCAATATAACAAGTTTACATGTTTTTATAAAATAATCGGCAACCTGCGTTTCGATAGAAATAAACAATCAGAAACATACTTCGGGTTTCTTATTTCGGCCACAAACTGAAACACTGGGAACAATTTACCAGAATATATCGTTCCAGTATCTGCTCTCCACTAATATTGAAAAAAGGCTTGATAACTGTATTAAAATGGCCAGCTAATACTATTTATCAGTAAAGCATTTTACTGTCGTCTGCTCCGGTCTCTCAAGCCGCCTGTGGTATTCAGTAGAGCTGATGATCGTTGGTAGCTGCATTTTATAACAAAACAAAAGAAGTTCACAATATTGTCGTTGATGGTGTCATCAAGCAGTTATGAAAAGGAATGAAAAAAGTATTTCAAATATTAACATTGGCTGCGCTGTAACATGTTTTTGAAAAAGATAAACTAATGTATTTAAATATGTGTCGTAGGTGGCGTTATTGCATACGGTAACGTGCAAAAACGAATACATTATAAATATTGGGCGTTGATGGCGTAGTTACAAAAAAACGCGGACAGTGCACGAATGTGAAATTTAATGACTGGCAACTCGTTACGTGCTTCAGAAATGGTGTGTTCGCAGTGACAGTACTATGATATCCCAGCAATGATTCAGAGAAAATTCAGGTTCGGTGTCCAGATTTTGTAAAATTGTTGGTAAACCTAACAATGTTTAAAGGGAGGGGGGGGGGACTTTGCGTTTTTAGCTTGTGTTGTCGTTGCAGGTGACGACACCCCAGCTTAAAAAAAATTGCATTTTCCAACACTTTTTAAAAACTAAATTTTTGAAATAATTCAGAACAACAATAAGTACCCCATCATTCACAATATATAATTTTTTCAGCCCATGTCACCAGCCTTACATTTTAGGATATGGCATAATATCCATGCCATAGTAACCTATGGATTAGCGTTACTGCCATAATGACAACTATTAACTAAAATACGACAATCATTTTCTCAAAAATTAGGCTGGTTACCACCAACTTGAGTCAATATCCTTATACACTGTATTGTAAAATGAACAAATTCTGCGTATGTTTCATTTATGAGTTGGCTTCTACCTTAATATTAATATTAGTTTAGTTCAATATACACAAAATCTAAACAGCAAGCACTTCATTTTGAATAAATCAAGCAGTTGCTATGTCATGTATTAACATATTTTTATAAATGAGTTATAAAATAAGGTACTACTTTCTGTCTTTCACTACATTTGGCACTATGACTTCATCTATTTTGTCTTTAGCAAAGTATAAATAGACCCCGGGAAATAGACCTAGGAAATATCTCTTAGGGTGCATCTCATTCTTTTATTCAAATCTATAATGCTTTTATTTCACATAAATTGGTCAAATTGTGTGGCGCATGATTTACAGCTTTCAGACTCGTTGAGATGACCAGTATCACATGGGAGGTATTACAATTGAGATTGAGAAGTGAACACTGCAATGTTAGCCAATATGTGGAGATGGTTGTATACTGAATAGATAATGAAAGGAAAATAGACATCCAGTCGTCTGAAGCATTGTGGTACTCCCATGGTCCCTGCTTAGATTGACAAAAGTCTGTTTAGCTGTTAGTGCAATATTCTTGTCTTACACTTGGTCGCATAATAAGTATGATACACCATGGTTTTAAATTAGTCATCTTCAACTCGTTAACATGCATTAGTACCAGTAATTATAATGCGACTTCTTAATTATAAGCAGAACCATTAATTAACAAGTACATTCTGACTTAAAACACATTTCATTAAATCTAACAAAATATTTGAGACATCAACATATATACAATAACATGCACATACTCAGGGGAAAGAGTGCACAGGTAGAGACTCCAAAATGCACTTTGCACAAATGGATTTGTTTGCAAAAGATAGTGTGGTGAAAAAACAAAACAATGACACAAAATTGCAGGCAACAAATTCAATCAACACCATTTTGAATAATTACTCTTTTATTGTGGAGTTGTGGAAATATTTTCCTACTATTCCTTTAAAAGGCATACATCCCTTTACTGATCCGCTGACAATATTGGACACCCCCCCCCCTCCCCTTTGACTATTACACTCCAATCAAACATGGCTTGTTAATTTCTCAAACATGCTGAAAATTTAAATAAAAATTTATTTAAAGTTGCAATTTGAACCCTTTGACCAAAAATAAAAATAAAAATACAAGACAAATGCATGCAGCATTAAGATGGCCTTGTCCTCGACTGAGTTTTGAAAATGTAAAAAATTCAGCTTTTATCAAGTGAAATGCAAGTAGAAAGCATGCAATTCTTTACTCAATGTCATGTACAAGGTTGCTGTCACGCTATATTATGAGAACACCTGCCTGCATTCACAAATATATCGTACAATCAGAATATACATATAATTTCATACATCAGTAAATACAAAGTCCTCTGTACAATACAGGCAAACTTCATAATAAACGCAAGCAAATAGAATTACAGCAACCATCTATGAAAAATATGTATATAAAAAAAATTGAAACTACTGCTGTCCATAAAAAGTTTTTGAAACATGATATATTAAATGAATGGCTCTTAATGTTTCATTAAAGTATGGATTTCATTAGAACTCATTTTTTTTAATTGACAACAGCGATGGGTGTCTAAACGTATTGTACAATTCTTTTTATCAGTACCACAAAGGTTAAGCCCTTTATACTTGGACAAGGCCAGTACAAAGCACATCATTAACAGTTACCTTCATTACTTGTTTTACAAAACACAAACTAACAAAATAAAAATCAGGCTGTTTCATAAAAAATACCCACAATGCAAGATAAGTTTCCGAACTAAAGACAATGCATGAAAGGTGATCTTCCCCAAATTGACCAAGTCATGCAAGTCTAATTTTTCTAGAAATCCTAACAGTGTGTACAACAACCAAATCACTTTACATTTTGTGAAATAAATAAAAACTGTTAAATAGAAAGGTTTCCTTATTCTGATCATGTTTTTTTTTACACCAAAACCATTACTTTTAAGTAGCCCTACAACGTCTGGAACAATCAAACTAGGAATGAGGTGGGTTTTGTGAATGACATAGCGAAGATCCTACAAATACATCGTGTTCACCTATCAGCCATGGACAATACGTAGAGAGTGGACACCGTCATGCACATTTTTATAGCAATATGTTTGTACAGTTTGTAACTAACAACATAGCTTATATGCGACACCAATCAGTTCCTCATACCACATCCAGTTTTGTTGCACCATTTTACAGTGGGTGAAATGTATTTTTACTGCTATTCACTGATTTAATCACTTTCGGTTTCCCCCGGTTCAGTGTCTTCCGTAGCAGAAGACTCGGCTCCTTTTTTACTTTCTTTATCTTTATCTCCTTCTTTGTTTTTATCACTATCGGATGCAGTGGTTGTGGTCGCTGTTGTGCCTGTGGTGGTTGCTGGCTGCTCATCCATACTTGGCCACGATGCTTGTTCTTCAACTCGGCTGAGACGTTCATTGAGAGCCCTCAGAGCAAGTTGTCTAGAAGAAGTAAATTGAGAAATTAATAAACATTGTATATGTGTGCTATTTAAAATATGCCAACTGTAATTTAACCATTATTTGGTGAAGTCGATATGACTGGCAGGATAAGTGTTAAAAATAATCAGAGATATGAAAAATTAAACATAAACAAAGCTCTGAATTATAATACAGATTAAAGAATCTAATCTGAGTTGTTAGAGGGTAAGATTCCCTAATCCAATGCACAGTGTTGGTAAAGGCAGATTATCTTGCATTGTTAATATCAGTTTTTGCAGCAACAGGTTTTTTAGTTCAAAGTCGATGTATTGGTGGAGTGTATACTTTTCAACATAAAATCTTTTCAGTCAAGCACAGAAACAAATTACATCAATTTCTTGTGTACACTTTGTACTGTAAAATGCTATTTTTGCCGAGATGGTTCAGCAGAATAAAATCCAGCGAATAGAACTTTTTTTTCTATATTTTACATTCAACTCATCAAAAATCAGTGAAAATAAACTCCATACAAAACACCCAAAATATCTTTTCCGGGAAAATTAATTCCACCTAACAAAGTACTTTACAGTATACATGTATATATATATTTGAAAAATGAATGGTGCATTTCTAAATACCATCTCCTATTAAGGTAGGGTAAAGTGGGCTCAGGGTCAGGCATCAGATATACTGTAAGAATTTACCCAGTAATATATTTTTGAAAATTAAAAGAATTACGTAACAATGACTATTTGTCTGAGGTCCTACAACCCGATGCGGCAATAACTTCATGAATGACCCAAAATTCTCAAATCATGACCATTTCCAGTAGTGAAAAATTGACAGTTATACATATGTAGCTTACCTTCTCCTTTCTGCATCATTAGCATCACTACCTGGTAGACTTATAGTGATGGAAGAGGGCGCACCCACATCATACTTCCTAACTTGCTTCTTACAAAGTCTTGCCTTCACTAAACCACTATGGACTGCAATGATAGAAATACAATAGCGTTGAACAATGAGAAACATCTGTGGTAAAATCACAGCTGTCGTCCATGGGTTGAGTTTTGCAAAGATCAGTATCAGTCTCGGAGGTTGATTCTAAGCATTGAATGTCACTGTTGTCTCTCCTGACTTTTTTTTTGTATGTGCAAATTGCAAGTGCTAGTGCTGACACATCGTGCATTTGCCACAGAAGTCATATTCATGTTTGGGACTACATGACAGGGCTGTGTGGTCATCTCTCTGTCAAATGGCAATTTCAATGCGCTATTCTGGCGTCAACCAGGCTCGGTCGAACACAAGCACCTGCGGACCTTAACAAAGGTTCCCCCAAAGTCGCATTCGTTAGTGAATGAATCTCGGCCATTGGAATTAGCCTTCCCATTGAGTCTGTGGCACACTCACCCAGGGTAGGGGTTGACCCTTTGATGTTCAGCCGAAGGTAGGATTTGAACTTGGGTCTACCGATCACGAGTCTGGAGCGACAACCACTATGCTACCAGTGACCGGTTTGTGTGTTTATTTATTGCCGTGGTTCTCTAGGGGTTATTTTCAACTATCTATTCAGACTGTATACTTAGATTAACTTTAGAATAACGGTGATATCAAGATTATGTGAATGTACCAGTCAGAAAAGTAATAGGCAAGTAAAACCAAACAAACAACAGAGTTTCCTGATTGGCTAGGATAGTTATGTTGAGTAGCCAATGAGAAGCAGCCTTGTAGGTCACTTCTCAGTTATTCAAATAATAAATGAATGATTACAACACTTACCAGTATTAGCGAGTATGGCAATTGGAGGCTGACATTTTTCTGGGAAGAAAGTAGCAAATGTAAAAGTGTCTGACATGTCTCCTCTCGATCCATCGCTCTGTTTCTGATAAAATCGTAAATACACCCAACTAACTATGATACCTGTAAAATGACATCAATTAAAAATGTAATCAATTAATTATCTAGTTAATGTCAATGTAAAAGACAACAAGTCATTGTCAATGACACGTCCCGTTTCGTTCATATTTGAGTGACATATACATTCAAAGCAGATCATGATGGCCATTTTTGGCCTTAAAGCGGCCGCCATTTGGCTATTGTTAATGAGATCATGAAAACAATGCACATACATATTTGTGACATGATGTACCTTGTGTGTGTGAAGTTTGAACTCGATCAATCCAGACATGTCTCGGATACGGATCTAGAACTGAATTCTTTAAAACAAAATGGCAGCTAGTCGGCCATTTCGAACTTGATCCGAAAAAAAAAATGACATGCATCAAGGTCCTATTATGTTTAATGTATGTACCAAATTTGAACAAAATCCGTCCATGCATAACTGAGATCCGGGTTCGGAATGATGAAAATGTGCGATTTCAATGCATTTTCGGCCTTAAAGCGGCCACCATTTGGCTATTGTTAATGAGATCATGAAACAAATGGACATACATATTTGTGACATGATGTATCTTGTGTGTGTGAAGTTTGAACTCGATCAATCCAGGCATGTCTCAGATACTGATCCAGAACTGAATTCTTTAAAACAAAATGGCTGCCAGTCGGCCATTTCAAACCCCCATCCAAAAAAAAAATGACGTGCATCAAGGTCCTATTATGTTTAATGTATGTACCAAATTTGAACAAAATCCGTCTATGCATAACTGAGATCCGGGTCCGGAATGGTGAAAATGTGCGATTTTGATGCATTTTTGGCCTTAAAATGGTTGCTATTCGGCCATCGTTAATCGGATCATGAAAAAAATGCATGTGCATATGTCCCATATAATGTGTGATATATGAGTGAAGTTTGAACTTAATCGGTCTATGCATGTTTGAAATACAGGTGCGCACAGACGCACGGATGCACACAGGGCAAAACATAAGTCCCCGTTTTCGGACTACGTCCGAACGGGGACTAATAACTTAAGTGCCTTGACATTTTGAAATAAATGAGATTAAGTTAAAAAGTAAAAAATTGACATTCATCATATCAATTGTAATTGCAATCAGCTCCCTGAACTCTGAGAACTGATTGCAGATGTTTAATACAGTATTAAGATTTGGAAATTTAATTAACAAAATGGCTGCCAGTCAGCCACATTTAATCAATGGCCAAGTAATCTCTGAGAACCATCAACTGATTATGGACATATTCAAATAATAAATGGATTTAGTACCATTCAAAATTGACACCAGTTGGCCATATTTTATCAACAACTAAAAAAGACATCTTTGTCTTTCTAAATTTTAAAAATTGGTCAATGCATGTTCAAGGAATGGTTCTGAACAGAAAATATAAATATGAATTGCCTGCAGAGAACCATGTGTCTACGTCTACTCTGCTGTTTTGAATGTTCGAGCAACTTGGCCAATACTGCTCATAAATAAAAATTTAGCCAAACACCAGTAATTGACAAACTTCAACCAAATAAATGGAAAATAAAGTTGACATTCAACAAATTTTGGTTTTGCAGTATATTGATCCATATCCTGCCAACCCATGTACTTTTATTTTATATTGACTTGACCAGATAAAAAATAACTTATTGTCTACTCGGAAACAATATCACAGTTGTATTCAAGCTTATGCAATCCAACAACTAAAAAGGATTTATGGAAATATGTTAAATCATAAAATAGAAAATATTAATAGAACCAATTGAAGATTGAATATAATATAAAATAATTTATTTAGCATGAAATTATGTCAAATCACAATGTATAAATTTATATAGTAATTGTTTGCTGGTGCGTGGAGAATGATATCAAGGGCTAGTAAAGCCTGGTGTAGCTTTTTGTTGGTGAGACATTTGTATGCCACTATAATAAAAGAGACACATGTGTTGTTAATTTATGCAAATCCAACAACAGCTGGTAAAGAGTATACATGTACCAAGCATTATTATTAATGATTTAAATCTCAGATTTTTCATGCAGTTTGGGATAAAAAAAATTACTACAGAATAGAAACATTTTTTTTTTCAAATTTGATATCAAGCTCAAATGTATAAGGTTGTATTACAATTATTATCAGAACTCAGAGATCTGTCAAGAATTGATTCTATTATTATTATGATTACTGGTATGTGGCATTTTGTCTGATGATTGCATTGCAATGTATGTCATCTGCATCTGGTGGTGAGCGACAAGGTATCAAGCAGTTAAAATTAGTTGTGAATTTAAATTTTAAGAGTGGGGGAATTGTTTGTTCTGAAAGGCATTGAAAACATGTTTTTGATCAAGTCCAATTGCAACAGATTGTTTATGTTTATGTACTGATGACAATAGCATACTTAGCATCAATGTTAACCTCATGCTTCAATGAGCTGTATACTGGGAAGTGATGTGAATGTGATACAGTAATTAATTATATTAACAGAGTTCCAGTGTTTTGTTGCCAATCAAGTTAAAAATAAACTGCTTACCTAAGGTAGATTTTTGATTATAGTTTTGTAAGCAGTAAAAATCAAGACTTGTTGCACTGCAACCTGATAAACGATGAGTATTATTTTGCAATAATGTTATGCCCACATAAAAAATGTGATCTTAACGCTATTGCAAAATTCTTGACATGTTTTAACTGTATGATTTTGTAGTTTTACATTAGAAGTTTTGCTGCTACCCAGAAATACTTACAACATGATTACGCTCTACGTACAGTAATATCACATGCAAAGTTAAACACATGACATAATCTACCACACGATTTGTCACAAGCGTGTTGCCGAGCCAGAGTATGATGACATGATGCGTGACTTATGAAACAAGAGATTATAATGGCAGCCTATTTGTTAAATTCATGGAACTACAAACCCCCGTTTATAACTAACCGTTGTCACTGTTTAAATTATAATGAAAATAAAATATGCTATACTATCAGTTTAAGGTTCATTGCAAAATAAAATAAAAGCTACCGTAATAGTTTATACCTGTGCAAGTCATGAGTGGGTATACTCCTGACGAAAATCCGGTGGCAAATAACAGGATCGACCACAACACCAACCACAGAGAGATGTGTTTCACGCGCATCTTCAACAATGATGTGTTTATAACGTCATAATCGCCCATAGTTTGCTTCAGAGCCACGGTGATTCCAGCGATGTAGCCAGCCAAACCATGGATATGCACTTGAAACAAGTAATCAATGTTCGACGTGGCTACGTATATCATAAGATACCACACTGCCGAAGTCAAACCAACGCCAATATTTACAATGAAGCAAAATAGTAACATTTCCAACGCTCCCCATAACGGCTCAATCAGTTTTCCACAGGCAATGAGAGTTATGATATCAGTGACGACGTTCCAAATATGAGTTTCCAGAAAACCGTGTGTTATGTAAGTCCATATTCGGAAATTGGGAGGGATTACAAATCCCGGTGTAATAGCTAATGTGTTTAGGATAGACTCGCCCAAAAACGACACTACATACAATGAGCATGTTGCTACTAAAATAGACTTCACTACCACGCTAGAGTTTTTCAGAATAACCGCGATCTGCTGTTGAAGCTGGGAGACATATATGCCCCTGTTTGTGCTGGAAGCCATCTTGATCGTCGTGGCTCAAGGTGACGTCACCAGAAACGTAAACAGCGCCAGCATGCAAGCATACAGATAATAAAAGCAACACTCGACAAAATTGTGCATCTGTAATAAAAATTGCATACATGCAATTTTATATAAATTTCAATCAATAACTAATTTTTTGAAATTATTTAGTAAATTATTATAACAAATCACCCTTGTCTTTGATTCAATTATGTTTGTCTTTGCAGCTCACTCATTCGGTTGGGGTCAAGGGTTACACACACGACATGGCGGTTGTTGACATCTGTGGTTGACTTGCATATAACTGTTATATCAGAAAATCCTTCATATAGGAAACATGGAGACAGGCAGAATCCTCGAATGTTGTCTCGACGAAATTGCTCTTGAAGGTTTAGTAGGTATGCTAACTCAACACAAACATTTATTTTAGTAACAAACATAATTGAGTATGGATTCATTACCGTGATTACGTGAAACAAATTGATTTGGGCACCAAGGATTTATTTCTAACAAGATGGAAAGGTTCATAATGATAACCGCACCAAAGCAAACGAGAAAAACAAACTGAGAACATATCAGCTAATCAAAGCTGCTTTGAACCTTGCGTAGTATGCTTACTAAATTTCGTCTTAGTAACCATAGTCTCAAAACTGCCCCCCCCCCAAACGCATGACAATTCATATCATCTGGATTACGCATAGCTTCTCAGCGATTTACGCTCCGTATATCTTAAGCAAAGCTTGGACCCCCCCTCCCCCAATACATTTTGCTGGATCCGCCACTGTATTTTAGTATTTAGTATTTTAGTGATTTTTTATTATTTAGTAATTTAGTGATTGTATTTTGTCTATTATATTGTCTTCTATTTTTTTCTTGTACCTGCCTTGTGACCATTTCCTTTTCGTCCAGGATTGTGTATAAACAAGTAAACATGTAAATTGCCACTAAACTGCTTCAAGTTTTTAGCATGGCCAATGTCATTGTCTGCATTCTGTTTATTTAGTTCTTTCACAATATTTCGCAAGCAGATTGATGACATTGAAGGGCTGTCATTTCACCTTATTGGTCATTGGGGGGGGGGGGAGTTACCTGTTAGTTTTTCAAAAAAAAGTTATAATCTGTGATCATCCTGAATGACCAAACATTAATTATTTTTATTTTTTAGGCATTATTTTTAATACACTATGTTTCAACATCATTATGACACACCACAACACATCCATGCATTGAGTGCTTACTTACAACAGTGATAGCTAGAGTGACTATTGAGTGACAGTGGGAAAGTTTATTCTAGGAGCATGTCGATACACAACAAATGAAGCCGTTCTAGGGGACCTGGGGTGGATAACTATGAAAAGTAGAGTCAGTTTATTAAAACTGAATTATTACAAGAGGTTGTGTTTAATGGAATCAACCAGATGGTCAAAAATTATTTTTAATAAACTAACAGCAGTTAAAGAGAATAATCTGATTAAGACCTGGCCATGGCTAAATAGCATTGAAGATATAGAAAGAAATATAAAGATAAACAAAAGTCAATTCACTAATCTGTCTGAAAGAAATATTAAAAATTTGATTGTTAAAAAGTGACGAGATTCAATGGAAACAAAAAATGGCAGAGAAATCAAGTCTTGTTCATTATAGAAAATTTAAAACAAATTTAAAATATTTTGAGAAATATTTAAATTCTTTATCCAAGGGCACCCAATTAAAATTCAAGGCAAGATCCTGCACTCTTGGTTTGGCATACGAGAAAAGGAAATGGGCAAAATTGGATAATAATGATTGTATCTGTCCATGTTGCAAAAGGAACCTGAAACACTGGAGCATTTCATATTACATTGTGAATGTTTCTCAGCACAGAGAAAAACTCTAATGGAAGGGATTGAAATGCTCCTATGTAACAAAAATGAAATAAATTTACATAAAGACTTCAGCAAACAAAGAAGTGCTATGTTTAATCCTGGGTGACAACACAAGGCAGTATAATTCAGTCCTGTGTGACGAAATTGATACTTTTACAGAAAAATTCTTAATTGATGCCATGGAGAGTAGAAAGAAGTATACAGATAATATTTAATATTTTTCCAATGTACTTCTTATATTTTAGTTTTCTTATTTTTTTTTTACTTTTAGATGTTTTTGTTATATTTTGTTATTTTAGTTCATGTAACTTACCGTACTCGACCGCGTTAGCGCCCAGGGGCTTCAACTCAGAAAATCACGATTTTGTAGGGGTGGGCGCTTACCCGAGCACCCTGATACAGATAATATTTAATATTTTTCCAATGTACTACTTATATTTTAGTTTTCTTATTTTTTTTAGCTCCGCTGTCGACTTTGTCAAGCGGAGCTTATCATATGAGTGATTGTCTGTCGTCGTCCGTGTCAATGTTTTACTTTTTCGACTTCTTCTTGAAAACTACAAGCCTGAATGCTTTGATACTTGGTGTATATGTACCTTGGGTAGACCTCTCTCAGATTTGTTCATTTCATGATGATATCTTCAATTCTCTAATTTTGGTGAATATTTTTGTCATTTTTAGTAAAAAGTGGTATTTTCAACTTCTTGTTAAAAACCGCAAGTCCAATTGCTTTGATATTACATATATAGGTAGGTACTACATGTGGACCTCTCTCAGATTTGTTCATTTTGTAATGATATCTTTAATTCTCTAATTTTGGTGAATATTTTTGTCATTTTTGGTAAAAAGTGATATTTTCAACTTCTTGTTGAAAACCGCAAGTCCAATTGCTTTGATATTACATATATAGGTACTACATGTGGACCTCTCAGATTTGTTCATTTTGTAATGATATCGTCAATTCTCTAATTTTGGTGAATATTTTTGTCATTTTTGGTAAAAAGTGATATTTTCGACTTCTTGTTGAAAACCGCAAGTCCAATTGCTTTGATATTACATATATAGGTACTACATGTGGACCTCTCTCAGATTTGTTCATTTTATGATGATATCGTCAATTCTCTAATTTTGGTGAATATTTTTGTAATTTTTGGTAAAAAGTGATATTTTTCGACTTCCTGTTAAAAACCGCAAGTCCAATTCTTTGATATATTATACATATAGGTACTACATGTGGACCTCTCTCAGATTTGTTCATTTTCTAATGATATCTTCTGTTCTTTAATTGCCATGTGCATTGCTAACAGCGGAGCTATCTCAGCCAACAGGCTGCTTGTTTTACTTTTAGATGTTTTTGTTATATTTTGTTATTTTAGTTCATGTAACTTACCATACTCGATCGCGTTAGCGCCCAGGGGCCTCAACTCAGAAAATCATGATTTTATAGAGGTGGGCGCTTACCCGAGCACCCTCCTTGAAAAAGAGTGCAAACAAAAATTTTGATATTATTTCCACTGACGAAGTTGTTGGATCGTACACAAACTCTCGATGAAAATTACTTTCCTCCATGATGCAATTGCAGATTTGACCTGCAGCAGCGTCTTTGACCTAATGGGTCAAGTTGGTTATTAACCAATCAGAATGCTTTGTTGTACCGATGCAATTCTTCGGGAATTCCCGAAGACTTTCCGGTAACACAATGCAGAAGTGAATTATCGATGTCGAAGTACGATCTGTTGGAATTGATTTCAGCGAATAAACAAAATGGTTTTTCCAAAAAACTAGTAGCTAGCCCTTTTTGAGAGGTAAAGGAATACATGTATGGCATGAAATATTTATCACATTTACGCACGGTTACCGCGGTCTACGCATTCACAACATATTCACAGCGGTCGATATCCATGCTGTATCATATAAAAACGATTACCAAGATTTGTTACGCAAGACCAAGTTTTAAAGTAGTTGCATTTTGAAGGGGTGGGCGCTTTGCCGAATGTGACCTCCAAATATAAAAATTTCGCAAAAGTGGGGGGTGGGCGCTTGCCTGGGCATGGGCACTAACGCGGTCGAGTACGGTATATATTTCGTTCGTATTTACTTCCTATTTTCGTGATTAGAACACAATTACTAAATACAGCTGTAAATCAAAACTACTGTAGTTGCATACAGTAAGCAATTTGTGGCAACAATACTGGACGACAATGATTTCAGGTGATTGACACATAACCTCACTGTTTACTTTCACTTTTGCCATGAGTACACTTGATAACTGCTTGCAAACTTTCAGTGGTCCAGTGTTCTCCCCAGGATCAGAGGCAAGCATGGCGGTCTAATTTGCATGCTAATTTGCATACTAATTTGCATATTTTTCAGGATTCACTCTCACAAAAACAAACATACAAGACAGTATTAAAATGTATGAGAGACTTTATTTAAATTACATAACTTAAACTTTACATAATATACCATAATTTGACAAGATCGTCATTTAATGTGAACTGTTCCATAAAACTTAGTCTAAACTATTCCTTCTGACTTTGTTGTGCTCCAAACATTGGCTGCCTTACTGTAGTTAAACTCGTCGTCATAGACTTGCACGGGACTTTGTTCCATAAAGAAGATCCACTCTTTGCAATCATGTTGTGTTTTGAGTATTAACTGCACAACATTCCTAGTGGGAAAAAATGATAATAATAAAAAAAAAAACAATGAGGATTGAGGTAAAGATAACGATTGAATTGTGCCACGATCGGAAACCCAGTGCCGTATGGATAGCATTTCGTCTGCAAAACATGTTGTTTACATGTTGGTTTTGTCAGGTCAACGACAAGGAGACTCGGGAATTTCGGGGAAAAAAAACATGGGGTCACTATTCAATTAAAATTAAAACGTAACGATAGAATTATGTATACAAATCAGGATTCCATCGATCATAGCGTGTGATGATAGCAGCTGTCGTTCGCAAGACGTTGACAGGCCGCCATCTTGGAAATACCTACACA